TGAAGGAGTTAATTTTAAATTTTTTATTTTTATTTTATTTAATAAATGGAAATTTAAAACTTTTGTCTAATTAAGAGCATCTATAACAGAAAAGGCATCGCAATCTAGAATATATAAAGATCTCCTATGAATCAATACTAAAAAGTCAGAAAACCCCAATGAGAATGTAGAGAAAGGATATGACAGGCAATCATACTCAATTATACTTGTATACTCAATTGCCAACAAACACTTGAAAAAAATCCCCAATCTCACTAATAATCAGGGAGATACAAATAAAAGCAAGATAAATATTTTTCATCAAACCAACTGAAAAAGATTTAAAGATTTACAGTACATATTAGTGGGAATGATGCAGAGAATTAGGTGGAGTATAAAATGAGGTATTTTTTAGAGCAATTTGCTTATACCTACCAAAATTTTAAATAGCCAGTTCCCTGTCATCCAGTCAGTCCACCTCGACCAATCTATCCAAAGAAACTTCTGAAATTGTGCATAAAGTCTACGGCCATGCCACCCTGAACGCGCCCGATCTCGTCTGAAATTGTGCATAAAGATGTGCATTTATTGCAAATTGTTTTAATCACAAAATATTTTGAAAACCCCATCCTGACTTCAGAGGCATGGTTAAAATGTATTATGGTGAGTCCATTCAATAAAATTCTCTGCAGTAGCTAAAAGGAATGAGCTAGATCTCTGCACTGCCAGAGAAAGTTCTCCAAGACAGTGGAGAAGTCAAGTTGCAAAACAACATATATTATATGGTTCCTTTTAAATTAAGATGTATATGTATAGATCTATGAACATACATATGTGGATATTTAAATGCCAGAATGGAAGGATTCTCTTATAACTATTAATACTGATTATCTTTGGGGTCAGGAATGGATTTAGGGGTAGGAATTTTCAGATTTTACTCTCCGTATTAATATATGCTTTAAATAGTTTGCATTGAGAATATATTCATGCAGTATTTACGCATTTTTAAAAATAAACAAAAGAAGAGGTATTCAAAATGAAGTAGAATTAACAAGTGAGTACAAGTTGAGAAGTATGAGTTTGTTTGCATGGGATGGTAAGGCATCTAACCAGAGTCAAGGATGCTCCTTCCTTCCTTCCTCCCTTCCTTCCTTCTTTCCTTCCTTCCAGGGAGAGATTAAGAGAATGAGTGGGAGGAGGGGCAGAGGGAGAAGCAGACTCCCCGCTGAGCAGGGAGCCCAATGTGAGGCTTGATCCCAGGACCCTGAGATCATGATGTGAACCAAAGGCTGATGCTTAACTGACTGAGCCACCCAGGTGACCCAAGGATGCTTCTTGGTAGAAATGAGAATTAAAGTTTATTGAGAGACAAATGTGACCAAATTGAAGAAAAGCCTGGAGCTAAAAAGAGCAGTTCGGGTTTCATGTTATAGCTTCGATACTAAGTGTCTTAAGGTTGCTAGAAAGTGCATGAAATCTTCAGTATGACCAATGCACTGCTTCATTTGACTTTGTTAGGAGATAGGCTAAGGACCAGATTGGGACGACTTTCACACGAAACCACCTAAAATTGTCTTCCCCTTTGTCAAGTTTATTCAAGGGTGACTTTGTTTTGCTCATACTTTGATTGCTAGACCTACCAAAGGAAGTCAGGGTGGCAGGATTCATTTCTCCCAAAGCAATACCATAAGCCGAAAGAATTGCCCAAACCCACTTCATTTAGGAGGGGTCCGTTGGGTCTAGCAAGCATTTTGAACTTTATGGATCTCTTTCCATTACAAAGCTACCACAAGAAGTTCTTAGAAATCTGTCGAAAAGAATTTTGAGATCCCCTTCCTGCCGGTGGCTTCCCATTTCTCTCAGATAAAATCCCACATCCTCACACTTGGCTGAAATTCTCTTGGTGATCTCTTCCCATGGTAGTCCCTTAGGCTCACGCTCTCCCTCGTCCACTCTGATTCTACCTCAAGAGCAAATTGTCACAGGGCTGGTTCCACAGCTGACCAAAGCTGCTGGGCATTCCCATGGGGATTTGCTACCGAGGATGGCATCACGCAGTTGGGAGAGCGGGTGTTTTCTTTGCAAATCCTGCCTCCTGCCCTCTTTTCTTAATTCCCAAGGAATAAGAGAGATCAGGCTTTTCCTTTCTTAAGACTTTCCCAAGGACTCAGATTCATTTGAGAAAGGAAGTTCAATGCAGGAAAGGGAAAGATTGCTGCCACCAGGAGAAGCTATTTTGAGAGCCCATAGGTTCCAGGCCTGTTTCAGAATCCATTATAGGGCTTCTTGTTGGCTTAACTCCTGGCCCGCTGCCATGGGTGAGGCCGGTTTGCTCTGAAGTGAGACTTCTGAACATCCATTTTCCACAAAGTTCAGTTCAGTTTCCTCAAAGTTCTGCTGAAAGTTTTGGGGAGAGGAAAATAATCATTGCAGTCTACATCCCACTTGAGGTAAGTTAATTGTTCCCTTTGTGCCTCAGTTTCCTCTTTTGTAAAATGAGAAGAATTACAGTAACAGCTACCATAAAGGATTATTATGAATATGAAATGAGCTAATATATGCAAAGCATTTGCAGCAATATCAGGCTGCTCTAATAAGCTCTGGACATGTGTGAGTTATTAATAATTGAACTTATTGCCACATTTCCATTACCTTCTACTTCTGCAGCTGGGGCTTTCAGCAGAGGTGAAGAATTTACATTTTTCCTCCAATAAACTTTTTCTGTTGGCTTGGGATCATTTTTCTAAACTGGTGGGACTTTTTTTGACTAGACCCAATCATACAATGTATTGATTACTTACTATCTTGAATTTCCTATAGCATACTACTAGAGTTCTCTCTTACTGTGAATGATTTTTGTTTCTTTAACAAACGTATTAAAGGCTTATTATGTGCTGTGTTTCTGAATTCATGTGATTGTGTGTGTGTGCACAGGAGTGTTTAAGGCAGGGATATAACTTCCTCATCTCAAACGTCCATATAGTTTTTAATCACCAATCTAAATGTTTAAGTAAGAGGTAACGTAAATGAGACACTGCCTGTGGGCTGAATTTGAAAGAATCATGCCTAAGGATCTAGCATGGGACACTGATGCCTGGGTACAGTTTCTGTGAGAGGAACTTATCTTGCAAAAATGCATACTAAATAGAAAGTTTTTTTGTTTGTTTTTAATGTTATCCCTTAACATTTAAAAATATTTAAATATATCACACCTTAAGGGCATGAACGGAATGAGTTCAGTTTTGTTTAACAAAAACAGAGCAACCTGTGAAGTTTGAAAAAAAAAAAAAAGCCAAATATAGGACAAATCACAATAAGGCCTATTTTATGAAGGGAGTAGTAAACCAAGAGGTGATCCAGAAGAAATACATCAGGTAGGTTTAAAAACTATTTCAAATTATTTGTAGTAAAGGTTCTACTTTGAGAATGCAAGGTTCCTGGATAGAGAGACAACCATCAAATAATTTGGGGGAAGTTGTTGGATTTTAAGCATTTTAGAGAAGTTAGAGCACAGAGGGCTGGAGGGAAATACACATGATACTCCTGGCTACTTGGAACAGAAGGAAGTGTTTTTGGTTGCCAAGAGGTCTACACACCTTGGCCATACCCTAGGGAAGTTTCAGAAGTTCTGAACAGAAAACGTACTGTATTGTGACTTTCAGATCAAAGACAGCAGTGGTCTTCTTAATGCGGAGGAGTGTTTCTTATTAAAATTCACAGTGAATGTGTTGTGTTCAAGGCTGTAGGACAAATGATTTCATGTTTTCTTTTCTGCAAGCCAGAGGGGTTGGGACATATGATTTCTCATTGCATTTATCTCTCTGGAATCTTAAGACCCCATCAGGGATGACAGTCATTTCTAAGTCTCCTACACACCGGTGGGTTGCCCATATCAGAATCCAGACTGGGCTGATTCAGGGTCTGAGCCAGTCTGGCCACTCTTGGGTACTTCTGCTGATAAGGAAGTTGTCTAAGACTGTGGTAGCCACACAGAAATGAAGCTGCAAGGCGCCACCAGTCCTGCATCCAGCCAGCGTTCAGGCCTGCCTCCTATTTTTCAGGCACTGCCCCAGGCACTGGGAATGCAGAACCAGAGGAGACACACACAGTCTGCTCAGGGCAGGCTTCTCAGTGGAGGGAAAAAACAACAAGAAAAGTGCCTTTGGATGCCTGTCCTAGGGCATATGGCAGTATAGAGGCAGGACGGCTACCTCAGCCTTGAGGTGTCCTAAGGCAGAACAGGAAGTGAGGATCAGAGCGCTCTCTCACTTCTGAAAAGGACAGCAGGATGGTAGGAGCTTTCCCTTGACTGACTGGCAAAGGGGCGGCTTCTTAAAACAAGCCAAACAGATACCCATTTTCTAGGGAGACCCTGGCACGTGCTCACTGATTCTGCCAATTTTTTATGGACGGAAATACCTAGGAGGGAAGAACTGGTGAGTCTTTGGAAGTAGAGAAAGTCCCTAGAAAGGGGCTGCATTTCCTCAAGGGTGTCCCAAAGGGACTGAACTACCTCCCCACCTGGAAGAAAAAGATTCTGGAGGTGAGGGAGCACGGGAGGGGGGGGGGGCGTCTGTCTGGAGTCATGTCAAGGCTTTTTTCCATCTAGCCTGATGTGGCAACAAGGAAGGATTTGCTCGTTATATTTATTTTCAATTTCTAAAGATTTTTCTTTTCCTTCTTCCCCCCTCCCAGCCGCTCTGGTTTGGGTTTTCCATATGACTCATAATCCCTTCCGAAAGTGGAGTCGAATTCATAAAAGTGGTGGAAGGGGGGGGGCGGGCTGGGAGCCCCGGGAGTCTTCACTACCTGCATTCCCACTCAGCTGCCGGCGCGAGCGGCGGCCGGGGCGGGGACACCCAGCCTGTGCCCGGGATGGCGGATACTATTCACACCCCGGCGGCCGGGACCCGGTGACTGGGCGCGGGAGGGTCTGCGGCGGGCGGCGCTGCAGCAGCCTCGGCACGGCCGCCGCCGCCCGCGGGCGCGAGTGTGCGCGGGTGTGGAAGGCCGGTGTGCGGGCCGCGAGGGGTGTGCGCGCGTGAGGCGGAGCGGGGCTCGCCCCTCGCCGGCGCCCGCCGCCCCGCGGGTGATCGCTCTCCGGCCGTCTCCAGCACCCTCGGCCCCCCACGGCCGTTGGTCCGGGCGGGGGAGGGAGAAAGTGAGACTCGGTGTCATCACCATCCATTGTCAGGAGGGGAGGAAATTGGAATCCAGCAGTGGCGAGCAGCAGCTGGGCGGTCACATCTGGGAATGCAAAGCCGACCTCCCCCTCCTCCTCCTCCTCCACCACCTCCTCCTCTTTCACCCAGGATCACTTCCGAAACCACTTCGCCTCCAGCCCCTGCCTCGGCCAGAGGTTTCATTTTTAACTGAATATTTACGAAAGCTGGAAGCGTGCGAGGGGGGTGGGGTGGGGTGGAAATAGCGGCTGCTTCTTTTCCAGGGATTTATTTAATGGGGATGTGTTCAAGGCAAGAGCGAATTCAGAAGGATATCGACGTCGTGATCCAGAAGTCCAGAGCCGAGAAGGACTGCCTGTTTGCAGGTGAGTTCTCGCCTTTCCGGAGCCTCGGACCCAGCGCCAGCTTCCGCCCGCCGCCCCCCTTCCCAGCTCTCTGACCGCGACGTGTGTGGTTCGGGCTGGGGGTGGGTTGCACGTCCCCATTCCGGGGTTCATTTGGCAACAGCTGCTGCAGCGGGAGCTGGAGCTAAAAGGGGGAGGGGGCGCCCCCCCACCCCCAGTCTGGGGCGACTACCAGCTCTGGCGGCTGAACCACTGTGGTCCCAGCGGGGGTCTAGGCGGAGGTGCCGTGCGTGGTCTTTTTTAGCCCGCTGTGGATACCCGGAGCGCCCCAGCCCGCCTCCCGGCTTTCAGCGGCGGTGGCCGAGCCGGGCGGGGAGGACCCGCGGGTTTGCGCAATGGGCTGAGCGGCGGCGACCGGGAATGGAGCCCGCTGCGCCGCGCTACGTTGCGCTGGCCGGCTGCGCCCGGCGCCGAGGCCCCCGGGGGGCAGCGCTGGCCGGATCTCCGCGCCTTCAGCTCCCGTTAGTCCCCTCCGACTGACAATGCGTTGCCCCGGAAAGAGAAGGGATTCCCGGGGTTCCCGAGGCGCCCTGCTCCCCTGCCTGGGGGGTCGCCTTTCGTCCATTTTGCTCCCCCGGGAGAAGGATCGGATTTTGCTTTCTCAGCCGCGAGCTCGGCGGGGGCCGCTTCCGGCCTCCCCGACCGGGAAATTCCCGCCGTTGCCATGGCACCTGGCACTTGTTGCGGGGGGCGGCCTCCCGCGGCACCCGGCCGGGGGTGCGCAGCATCCCCTCCTGCATGGCGCGGAGAGGGGACCTCCGGGTTCTCCAGCCCACACCTCCCTCCCCGCCAGGCCTTCTCTTGGCTCCACTAAATAGGGGGCCCAAGTAATGACCAAGGTTAAAAACCCACTCGAGGGGTAGCTTTTAACAGGACTTTTCCGTTTCAGATTTCAGATACTCAGACTCCACCTTTACTTTCACCTACGTTGGCGGCCCCAAAAGGTATTTGTGTATATAGAGTTGCTTCATTTCCTGTTGACAGGCTTGTGTTTCCTTTGTTCTTAGCATGTTCCGTGTTTGGGTTTTTTTTTTTTTTTTTTTTTTTTTTCTCTTGTTGCTGTCCTTTAGCCACATCCCAGGCTAGAGGTCCCCCCATTTTAAATAAGAGGGAACATAGATATGTTTGATTCAAGGGTTTCTAAGATCACGCCACAGGCAATGAGCAGAACTCTTGCACTGTTCGTATTAAAGCTGTTATACTGTAGTAGTAGCTCGCTCTTGAGAGATTTGGGGGTTGATAGCTGCAAGCAGGTGAAGAACTGGAATCCTGAGTATGAAGTGAAATGCATAAAACATAAAAGGTATCGCAAAGTAGTTTCAACACAAGTAATAATTTTCTTGGTGAGTTGGGGCTGCGTGTTTCCATGTTTTCTGAAGGTTGACATAAATATGCAGTCTGCCAGTTCTCCATACTTTTTTTTTTTTTAAGGAGTGGTATTTTGGTTTTCTACATTTAGTTTTGGAAAGAATTTGGAAGTTATATGTAGCTGGAGTGTATAACTTCTCTCTTGAGGGGGAGGTATGACAGATGCATATATTAATACTAAATTGTTAACAGTGTGAAAGAAGTCCAAATCCAATTTTGTATTTAGGAGGTAGAGTTAAAATGAAAGGTAGCTTTTAAAATACATCTTGCAATCTTCACTTGTTAAGTTAGGATTTTCTCCCTTTTAACCCTTTGGGGACATTTGTTTAAAAGAGCAGTGGCCACCTATGAGAAATGTCAAGAGATTTAGCCTTGCTGTTAGGACTTGACATTCAATATCATTTGACTACATTCCAAAATATTGCTTAGCTTAATGGAAACATTTATGAACATATAAATTGCAGAAGAAGCTTTCCTCTGTAACTACATTTTTTAAAAGATTGGAACTAATGTGAATCTTTAAAATGCTGAGGATCCGTGCTGCAATCTGTGTCTCAAAAAAGCTTTAATTAAAACGGTTATCGCATTTCCCATATGGATAGCCTAAGCCTCAGAACTGGCATATTGATTTGATTTACTAGTTGAGAACATAACACACATAACATGTACTTACTGGGAGAGGATGAAATTACAGTACTTCTTAATTTACTGTGGTACTATCACCGCAGCTGTGAATAAAAAGAATAATTTCGAGGAGATTCAGCTAAATTAATGCTGCTCCTACACGTACTATCCAGAGGAGGTTGGCGTATGACTAATATCCTTTTGGATTATTTTAACCGCTAAAATATGCCATGCGTCCCATTGAAAACATTCTCCACGCCATCAGGTAGATAGCTGCTTGAGCAGTGTAACAGTTAACTGCTGTTCACCCAGTGAGAGGTGTGGCCTGGGGAATGCTCTGGGTAGGTTTTTCAGCTAACTAGCTTATTTTCAGTAAGATGCTTGGGTTCTTTTGGGCTCAGTTTACTTACTTGTACAATGAGGGAGTGAGCCACACACTTAATCTCTGAGATCTGTTAAATGCTGCGGTAAAATTCTCTATCAGCCAATTATTGAACTGGTGTTAACATAGCAAGTGGTGAAGAAGGTATGGAAGCCTCCAGGAGCAAGGCGGCGGGGGTGGGGGTTGGGGGGTGGGGGTAGGGCTTGGGATAAATGATAAACTAATTAAAATAACCTCAGTTTTCACTGTAGGAGCAAGCACCTTGGTTGCTCTTAAAGTAAGAGATGTTTCCTTTTCTATGTAATCTTATTAAGGGATAGTATTTTCTTTTGTCTCAGATTCAAATACCTGGGACTTGTGTATCTACTAAAGAAGACTTTAACAGACTGTTCCTGTAATTTCTTTGTCTCCCCAAAATCTCCCCAAAAGCTTGTTCTACAAAATGATATATAAAAGTTTGTTTTAGTATAATAATGCTAATAATTCCTTTAATGGTAGTCTTTTAGTATTTATAGCTAATGGCAGAGAAGACATTTTTTTCCCCTGAAGATAAAAATGCATTGTTTTCATTAACTACATTAGAATCTGATATTTATTCTGTATTTCTCATTGTGGCATGTTAATTGGGCATTTAAAAATTTAAAAAAATCCTGCTGTTTTGATTGAAAGTGCTTATTAACTTATAATAGTCTAGCAATAGTGTCATTTTCAATAAACTAGACTGACTTCATGGTTAAAGGAGGTGGGAATCTTAAGGAGAAATAGTATATGATTATCTTGAATTATATTTAACTATCATTTCATTTAAACCATTGAGAATATATTTAAAGGATCATTTTCAATTCAGGTTGTAGATAAAACTTAATAAACCATTTTCTCTTTCTCACACTTTCTAAGAACAAGTTACACTTTGTTCTAAGGGCAAAGGTTGACCTCACATGTTACTACTCAAAAAAGAAATAATAGGGAGAATTTGTTTTACACATACATTGTTTTACGTTTCTGTGAGTAGGAGGTAATGCCAAGAGGCAACTGTGTCAGGGCTGGCCAGTGGCCTGGTAAACTGAGCTTTCATTTGGAGGTTGAAAGGCTTATTAACATTGGCTGTTCTGTTTTCTTGGTGGACTTAAGGTGAGGAACAAGGGGGAACTTATGGTCATTTGGGAGACTGAGTTCAGTTAAGTTTCCCTAAAGAGAAGGTTCATGTAACTGTTATATCGTCACTTTTGGATGTACAGACTGAGGCTCAGAGAATTTAAGAAACAAGCTGAAATTTGCTCGGTTCTTTGAAGAAGCTACCATGTATGTACCCTGTTCTGTAACCCTCTTGAGACCTATGCTCCTTCCTCTACACTGTTGTTCTCAGCCTCTTTGAACATGGAGACTCTTGAACATCAAAGGATCATGCAGATACTGGTTGGAGAGTGATAGTTTTTGTGTCTTTCGATTGGGAGATAATGAGAAAGAAGCGTTAGATGTTATGAGTTTGGTTTTTAAGACCGTCTACATAGGCTTGAAAATACATATATACAGCTAGATTAATTTATTCTAGCAATGGTCTTTGTAACACACCTCTGATTCCTGGACTTCTTGGAATAATTTCACAGCTGTCAGTGGTTCAGGACCTTCCATGGGCCCCTGCCCAGTGCTTCTTCCAGTTTCAGGGATGTGCTAATGTCTGGCCTCAACTGTACACAATTGGGAAGTTTATGCAAAAGTCATTCCTTCCCTGTACTTGTCATGCTTGTGATCTCCTGCCTCCTTCTTTCTCCCTTATTGATTAATAGTAAAATCCTTAAGACCACAAAGGGATTCTGGCCCTTCATCTCATCTGTAGTCAGTCGTGCAGTTAGTGGTAGAAGAAACAGAAAGGAGAAAGTAAGTAGTGACAGCTCCTAGGGATGGGAGCGCAGGCTGAGTCCCTGGTGCCAGTTGTCAGCAAAAAAAGGACTGAGCAAGGGGAGCCCACTGGGCCTGGCCATGGACCCCTGTGGGATTCCCCGATTGTGAGTTTCCGGCAAGGATAGTATATCATGAGGATATAACTGAGGTTTTAGAAAATGCACAAATCAGAAGTATTTATTGTCAAGACTTTTTGTCAAAGAGATAAGCCAAAAAAAAAAAAAAGAAGAACTTAAGAAATGTGATTTTTTTCATCTTCTATTAATGTGTTAGAGCTTATTCTTTCAGCATTTTATGTGTCTATATGCATATAAAATATATGCCTCCAGGGATTGTATTATACTCTTGAGACCTCAGTGTTTTTTCACTCAAGAATGTAAAAGTGTCTTCCCTTTAGAAAGGATATTAGAATAAAGAAATGTTTATTAAATTGAGAGTTTTCTAATCGAGAAGTGTGACTGTATGATAAGAAATCTAACATTTATATTAGAAATTATTAATACATTAGACACTTAATATCTGGCAGAATGTTCAGAGTTGGCTATAGGTGTATACCTTTAATTATAGGAAGAGACACTCTTTCCTGTGGTCGTGGGTAGAGTGGCATCTTTTGAAGTGTGCGAGTATGTGCCCCGCTCCTTTGGGATTTTCTGTTCACATAACTGTTTTGAGCATCGCATGTATCACTAACAGAAGTGTCCACAGTTCCTCAAATCACATGCTACCCTTCTTTTTCTTGGGCCTTTGCACATCCTGCAGAACTCCCATCTACATCCTGTCCTCCCATCTTCCCCCATCTCAGCCCTGGGAGGCCTTCCTTGTTGGATCTTTGCTAAAGATCCAACCAAATTCCTCTGTGAGAAGTCTTTTTTTGGCACTCTGTTCCCTGTATTATTCTTCTAGGTATTTCTAAAACCATGTTGTCACATTGTTTTATTAGCATATGTTTCCTTGAGCATCTGTCTGACCTTGAGCTTCTTGGAGGCAGGGTCCATCCTATTCATTGCAGTTTCCCCAGATCCTGTCTCCCCGCCTAGTACAATGTTTTTTTTTGAATAAGTAGATGCTTATTCAGTCATTTAATGAATGCTAAAAGGTCTTCCGGCAGGTGAGAAGCAATTTTCTAACTAAATGGTCAGGTATAGTGATGGTCAAATACTTCAAAAAGCCCCAAATCTGGTCATGTCACTTGCAATAGAATTTCTTAAGAATTCGGAGGCCGTGTAGCCAAGTTATAAGCCCTGTGGCGTGCTCAAATGCTTTTAGGGGACAGAAAGATAATGCAATTGCTTAACATTATGAGAGAGTTAATGGGAACGATGACACACTAGGGAGTTTGGACTCTAAAAGTATTTAATTCAGTTTTAAAAAATCAATAGCATTCTGGTGATCAAGCAGATTTTCTAGGGGCCTTAATCCATCTGAGTTCCCAATGTTTAATTCCTTGCTCATGGGATGCCATGGAGAGAGGCAATTTACCTGATTGATAAAGTGCATTTGTTTTGACTTTCTTCGAAAGGAGAAGTGTATGTGGGTGCAGGACTGGGGGTGTTGAGAGGGTGGCGAAGTAGAAGATGATCATCTCAAAGAGATTAATCAATTTTCATTGTGAAAGAATTACAGTCTCATTCTAGAAATCTTGAAATATGCAATTATTTTGAAACCATC